CATTGGACACATGGACATATAGGTGGCCAGCTGTACAAATACAGCATTCTAACAGATTATTTAAAAATATTTTATACATATGAGGCGAGGAAGGACATCGATTCCTGCCTGAGGCAGGGGTCATAGAAGATGTCAGCCCATGGGATTGGCACAGCTGCGGGTGGGAGAGGCCCTGGGAAGAGGATGCAGCAGCCTGAGCACAGGGACGATGTGAGAGTCTGCCCCAAGCTCAAGGATTGATGGCTGAGGTCTGGGGCTCTGTGGGGCAGGGGGCAGGGGATGGGCAGGATAAAGTTAAACTGGAATGTTACACTAGAAGTGAGGGTCTAGGGGTTGGAGCCAGTTTCCAGGGGGTCAGGAAAGTCTTCCTGGGGATGATCATTACACATTTAACCTGACTCTGATAGAATGCCACTTTGATGTGTTCCCTAAGACACCCAGGGAAAAGTCACAATGCCACACGCCCCAGAGCTTCACTGGGGTTGTGCCCTCTTTCTACATCTACACCACGCCAAACACAGGTGTTATTTCAAGAGGTGTCTTGGGAGTTGTAAGAAATTCCAGGCATAGGGTAAAATACTATTTCTCTCAGGTTTGATAGAAAGTAAAACCTCAATTAACCGAGTCCTTCCAATGACTAGGATTTTATACTCACTGGGCTTTTGGGTGAAAAGGGCAAATCACAAAAAGCACAGGCAATTGTGAGCATTTTTTTTTTTTTTTGCAGAAGCACGTATGATGTGTCCTAGGTACAATCCCCCCTGAAACCCAACCCCTGTCTTTCCGCGGCCCCACTCAAGTTCTGGGGCCATGATCTGTCCCCAAATCAGGGAATCCTGCCTCATATTTGTGGCCAGGTCTTGTCTTCTGCTTGGACTCTAAGTTCTTTGAGGGCAAGGGACTGTATTTTATACCCACTTTTTATCGCACACGTGTAACACAGATCTTTGCACGTCATAGGGTTTTTAATATTTGGCAATGGATTAGAAAATGCTGTCCATATTCATTAATGTCAGGGGTGCAGTGAGAACATTTTAAGTGACTCTCCTATGTTTCTTGTTCAGTGGGTCTGGTCTGAAGTTCTTTTCTACCAGTGAGTGACTGGTGGTGTGAACTCAGGCAAGTTACTCTCAACCTAACCTGCAGGGTTGGTATAAGAATCAGCGATTAAATATTTAAAGTGTCTGGCAGCAGCTGTTGTTCTTATTTTGCTTGTCTTGAAAGCAGACATTTCCCTGGCTTGTCGCTTATTATTCCACAGTTGAGAGCTCTCATATTTTCTGGAATTGCATTTCCGTTTGGGAGCTTTAGCTCCCAGTCCCTAAGGTTGGCTTTACTAAGGGGGGCCGGGAAGGCGGAAGGAGCCATTTGACCTGAAAGATGAGTAGATGCTTAAAAAGCAGAAATGGATGGAAAAGACATTCCAGACAGAAAGAAAAGCGTGCACAAAGGCCCAGGGTCATGAGGGAAAGTGACACGGAGGAAGTCGATCACGGCTAGCACGGGAGACGTCCACGATGGGCGGTGAGGAGACCGAGGCTAAGCATTCGAGCAGGAGCAGCATCGTGTGAGACGCTAGACCTGGGCTACCAGTGACCTAGATTTGTTTGTTGACAAGCTTCTTTATTCTTCTTTAGTTTCCTGTAAGTTGCAGTGAGTCTCTGAACCAAAACTATAATTAGGCTGATGAACTTTGAGCCAGGTAAACAGGGTAGGGATAGGGCACTGTCCCAGCACGTGGCTTCTTAGCAAGAGAAGCACCATTCAGCCAGGTTGGACTCAGCTGATGGGACCAGCCAGCACTGCCCGCCTGCAGGCCCTCTGCCTGTCTGCTGGGTGCCGGAGTGTGGTTGATGCTGACTTGTCGTGGGCTTCTTCATGACTTTTGTTTTAAGATTTTATTTATTTATTTATTTATTTATTTATTTATTTATTTATTTATTTGAGAGAAAAAGAGAAAGAGAGAGCAGGAGCAGCGGGAGAGGCAGAGGGAGAAGCTGACTCCCTGCTGAGCAGGGAGCCTGACTCAGGGCTCAATCCCAGGACCCCAGGATCACGACCTGATCCGAAGGCAGATGCTTCACCAATGGAGCCACTGGGCACCCCTTTTTTCCCAACTTCTCATCGTAGGTTGAATCTGTAATACATCAAGTGTAGCAAACCAGGGCCGATCATTGTTTGCGTCCTCTTCACAGCCTACGCCCAGCCAGATGTTTTTGAACACTCCTGAAACTGTGAGCAAGGGTTCGGCAAATATGACAGGCATCCCTTGTCCTGCTTTTGATATTGTTCTCTGCTTGCAGACAAGCCTGGAAATTCGGGGAGGTGGTGAGGGGAGTCGTACCCCCATGTCCTGCTCTCACACGTGCACCCAAGGGAACACCAGGGTCCAGCTTGTCAGGGCGTTCCACCTGTCATGTTAGAGGCACCTGACAGCAGCTGCAAGGCTGTGCTTTCGCTCCCTTGCCCGTGTCTTCCAGCCCCTTCTGTCTCCTGCTGTTCCTCCTGCTTCACATCCAGGTGCTTTTCCCATCCTTCCTGCTCAGCAGTTCTACTATTGTTCTTCCTGTCTGGGTCTCTTAAATTCAGCCCACACCTTTTCAACTCCATATCCTGACTCAAGTGTTTGAAAGCTGTTATTTCATGTTAATTAGAAGTTCTTTTTCCAGCCAAGAAGACATGCATGGAACTGTTCCCCCAAGTTGAGGTTTAGAGATGAGCTCTGGCATTTGGCGCTTTGGGTACAGTTAAAGGACAATTGGACAATTGGAGCCAGACTGCCACCGCATGCAGGGCAACCTTCCCCACCACCTCATGGCCCTCACTGTGAGGGCCAGAAGAGCTCAGTGCACCTCCCAGAGAACATCATCACGGTCCTGGGCCAGGAGGACCTCCCGTGGCCAAAATTGCCTTACAACCAGACCCAGGAGGGTCTCTGGCCTCTGAATGGGTCTCCACTATATGCTGAAAGGTGACCCTTTGGCAGCTCGTCCTCCTTTTGTAGCACATTCCCCAGTTGACCCAAGTTTGGTGGGAGATTCTGGTGGGAAAAGATTCCCACCACTTTCTGGACTGGTGAAGATGTCAGCAGGAGTTGGCACCTGACTCCTTCCCTTCCCTCAGGGAACTTCCACTCCTTGAGATGTTTTGAGCAGAAGTCGAGCCCTGTCACATCTGGCCTCACCCCTTATGCACGCCTGCTTGTAGATCAGGGGCCACATCCCTGTCATCACCTGACCCTTTGCCATCACCCTGGGCGTCTGCAGACCCAGACTGAGGAAGCTGCAGCCCTGGGCCCTCTGAGGGCCCCCAGCACCCCCTTAGGCACCCTGTGTTCCATTTGGAGGGAGTGGGTGGTACTAATGCATTCCAGAGCTTGGGGAGTGATGCATTAGGACCACCTTCTTTCTGTCTTCCACTGAGAAAAAAGAGGCTTTCTTCTTCCAGAGTGCCTTAGAATGAGGTCATTACGTCATGCATGGTTGAGGAATCCCCTTATGTGTCTAACTTAAATCACTTGGGATACACTCCTCAGTCTTGTGTGGTTTGCAGAGAAAATAGTCAATGAGAAAATGTGGCTTTAAGGCGCCTTGGCCTAAGAGCACAGTCCTAGGCACCATGGAAGTGAGGGATTGGTGTTCTTGTATGGAAGGGAGTTAAGTACCACCTACCGAGGGCTGTTACAAAGATGCCTTCGGTATTGTTGGTGAAGGTCATACCCAGGGCTGGTCATGGAGGGTGGGGTCTCTAAGAGACAGCAGCTGCCCCCCCCTTCCTTCTTTGCATTATTGTTAACAGCAAACACCAGCTAATGTGATACAGAGTAGACAGAGACGTAAACGGGGCATTGTTTGATGAGGTGGGGTTTTTTGCTGGGTTTAGAATTTAGGAAGAATTAAGGAGAGTGGTAGATTCATACAGATTAAAACTGAGGACACAGCATATATGTTCACGGAGCTAGGAAAGGAACCTGGCCTTTGGCCAGTGAATTATATTGATAGGAGTAAAGGGTCCAGAGGGATGCTTGTCCCAGAACGAGTGGTGGTGGGACAGGACTGGCCAGTAAGTAGGATGCCCTGAGTATTCAACAAGGAATCTTGACTTATCGTTACAAACAGTAAGGAATCATTGTAGTTTCTTGAGCTAGGACTGAAGATGATTTTCAGAGATCTTCATGATGCAATTTCTTAGGGCGAACCAATGTGGGAGACAGGAAGACCACCAGGAAGGTGCCAGGGCCTCCACAGGGACAGTACTAAGGAGCCCAGGGACCAATGGAGCTAATGTCTCCAGAAAGGCCATAAGTAGAATTTGGGAATGGGATAACCAGGAGGCCAAGAAGGAGACAAGGGTCTAAAGCTTAGCTCACAGAAGTTGTGGACAACAGAGGGTCAAACCACTGGTGATAACAGAAATAGGGAAGAGATAGTTGGTGATTATGAAGTGAGGTGAAGTCCTCGCCCTTAAGTAGCAGGGCTGGGAAGCTCTGAGGAGCAGACCTGAGCCAGATGCCCCCTTCTTTATGTGCCTTCGGTTCAGGCTTTTCGAGGCCTACAGGACTCATTCACCTTCCCATGATGAGGATCTTTGTGGAAGGTTATTTGTAGATCCTTTATATCAACTGAGTCGAGTCTCCTGTGTGATTTTGTAAGTAAATCAAGATTTTCTTTTAGTGAACTTTTGGAATCTTACAAATAGATTTGTTTTGTTTTTAAAGAAGTAAGCTCTTAATAAAATCCCTGCGTTCTCGATAAAATGAGCCTTTAACCCAACCACAAATGTTCACGTTTGGTCTTCCACTGACAAAGCCATCTATTGAGTTGAGAGTTCTGGAACCCTTGGCCCTGCTGCCACCGTGTCCCTCAAATCAAGCCTCTGCACAACACCTTCTAGAATGAGTACAATAGTTTTCAGGTCTAGGCCAGGCCACTGGGTTGGGCTGTGCTGGAGATGCTCTGGCTTGAGCCATGTTGTTTTCTCCCTTTGTCTTCCCACTGTAGACTCCTGTTTTCCAAAGTAAAGTTGGAGTCGCTCTGCCGGGGCCCGGATGAGGCACTCCTCACCTGTAAGCACATGTTACAAATATGGAAATCCTGCTACAACCTCACCAATCCCAGGTAAGAGGCCAACAGTGCCTGTTTTGCACGGTTTCTGCAGGGTGCCCGCCTGCTGGGTGCCATCTCTGATGGGCATTTAGCAAGCTGGCATTACCCAGCCACCCTGTGCAACCCCTGGGTCGTGGTGAGCAGTGCAGGACAGGAGGAGCCTCACATGCTCCATCTGTAAGGGGATCTCCTTCCCACAGGTGACGAAGCCCCCAAGTTGTGGGTTTCTTTTGCTGTGGCTGCCACATGACCCACCAGGCCCAAGGCACAAGTGATCTCCCACCCATTCCTCTCAACCAGCCATTTATGTAACTCCTTGGACAAGTCTTAATCATCTTGCTGGTGATTTATGGATAGACTAGTAATTATATACCCCAGGTGGGGGTCTGACAGTAGTATTTAAAGGACCTGCAGAGACCACAGGCCAGGCCCTGTTAAGGAGAGTGGAAATAGCTATTGGCATGATAAAGTATAATTTTCAAACAGTTAAAATCATGACTCAAATGAATATAAAATAAGCATGTATCTAAGGTTTTACTTACCTCATTAACTAATGAGGGAGCCAGTAAGACATTAAAACTCATCTGGAGAAGAATTGGAGAATAGTTACACTGAAATGCATTTGTAGAGAAATGCAAAAACAATATCCCATAGGACAATGAAAGATATTGTTTGGAGTGGTCTTTTTACAGGGTGGAAACCATTTGCCTACAGATGGAGCTATAAAACGGCCTCAGTCAGTCAGAGTCCACCGAGGGCACCCCCCTGACCCAGGCAGATAACTGGGGGAAAGGCCCACAAGTGGACCCCCCTGAAAGACACGCAGTAACCCCTGGTTCCCATTTTCAAGTCTTGGGCCATTCTTCCTGGCATTTGTTTAAATGACCAAGTGTGTCCTGCCCTTGGGGGATGTCATTTAATGAAAAGGGACCTAATAATATAAGTGCCTTCAAACAACTACTCATATTCTTGGCACATTTCTTCAAGCTCATAGCAAGATGTATGGACAGCCCACACTAGCTCTTAAAAGTCAGGAGCCTAAAAATGTTCAACTCCAGTCAGAGATGTGTATTAACTGAGGGTGTCACTTGCCCCACACTGTCCCCTAGTTGGTGACAGGCAGGTGGCTGTGGTCTGCTAGTCCTCGGGTCTGGGGAGAGGAAAGGGGGTGCGATGGGCTTGAGGGCGTTAGGGGAGCAGCAGAGTGCAGGAGGGGTTCTCTGGGGGGATTTGTTTTACAAACGTTTCTGCAGTTAAAAGAAAATATTCAGGAGCCCCTGGGTGGCTCAACAGTTGAGCATCTGCCTTCGGCTCAGGTCCTGGGACCGAGTCCCACATCTGACTCTCCGTAGGGAGCCTGTTTCTCCCTCTGCTTGTGTCTCTGCCTCTCTGTGTGTGTGTGTGTGTGTCTCTCATGAATAAATAAATAAAATCTTAAAATATATATATATTCAAAATCAGACTCTTCCCCTTGAGAGGATGGGTCCTGGTGAACTGACATTAGACAGAGTCGTGACCACAGACGGGTCTTGTGGGCAGTGAAGCCAGAGAGCAGCCGGCCTGCAGGCTGTCACCCCTCCCCACCCCAACCAGCAGGCAGCCCCAGGACCCCAGCAAAGCCAGAGTCACAAGAATGAGCTGAGAACCCCCTTCGCAGGCGTCACCTGCAGCACGTGACCGCCCCGCGCTGCGTCTTCCTCTCGGTAGCAGGATAGTCGTGAAGCCGGCCTCTTCCCTTTGGCAGCTGCATTCTGAAAATAAAGATCATTTTAATTTTTAAACAAATTCTGCTTTCCTAAGTCTGCAAGCAGAAATAGAAAATGCCCATGTTATGTTCCCAAAAAGCCCCCCGCTCCTGGCCCATCAGAAGCAGCAGGATTTCGGGAAGAGTCTTGGCCACAAGTGCTGCTAACCGGAGACGCTGCCCAGGCTGGTGGCTTCCGCACTGGAGCGTTCCTTCGCCCGTACCCCCCGTTAGAGATGAGAAAATAAACCCATCAGCCTTCATATTGCCAATTTTCCCTCAGTTCTCCACACCTCTCCACCTCCCCTACATTTCCTCCCACTTAGCAACCAAGAATATTGAATGTGAGGAGAAAAAAATAGCAGAATTGGAAAGCTTTTTAAAAATACTTAACCAAATGCCTGGGCTGTGTCCATACTTCCTCCGTTTCCTGAAGGATCTTTTAGGGCCAGAGCAGGGAGGAACCCTGGCTCAGGGCGCGGAGTCTGGATGGGGCACGGGGGTGGGCAGAGGGCCCCCCATGAGCTTGCGGGCCTGCTCTCCCAGGATTCCCGAAGCCCTGGGGGAGGGGCGCAGGGGTGGTAATTGAGCAGCCCCCTGATTAAGGAGCTTCTCAATTGTGGGTTTTTTTTTTAACTTTATTTATTTTCTCTGGGATATAAATAAATGTCTCTCCTGTAGGCCTTCCCACTGCACAAATTTAAACCTCCTCCCCCATTGGGTCGGGTAAGACATGACCCTGGAGTAGAAGAAAGAGGGGAGGGCTGCGTCTTGACAAGGGGCAGCATACTTAAAAGTTCTCCACATAAGGGCAGCTCTGGGTCCAACAGCCTCAAGTCTCTGATCGGGTCACACGGGGTTCTAGAAGAGGGTAGAGTTGCATGAACAAGTGCATGAGAAGTGCTTTAAAAAAAAGAAAGAAAAGAAAAAGAAAGAAAAACTGGGCAGGGAGCATCGTGGCAGGTGGTTGGTTTCTCCCCGAGAAGGCCCACGACTCCCTGTTTGTGAGCGCGCTCCCCTGTGGAGAGGCCTCTGCTGCACCTGCCAGGGCTTCCCACCGGCCCCACCCCCTCCCAGAGAGCAGCCACAGCGGGCCACGTGGAGAAGGGACCGAGCTTTCGTGCTCTCTGCAGCTCGTTCCCTCTTTATTTTTGCCTGAAGGAAAAAAATCACCGAGTTAGTCGCTGAACTGAGCCTTAGACAACTTGCAAAGAGCGTCCCACCTGCAGTCTGAGAACACGTCTCTTGCCGTGAGCAGAGCGGTGGGTGGCGTTCTCTCGGGTGTGCATTTGGCAAAGGTGTGTGTCATTTCAGAAGCCTGGATTTGTTTGCTGGGTCTGCACTTTTACTTGCCTTCAGGACAGACATCCGTCTCGGGTTTCATCTCCGCTCTGTCAGCAGAGGAGGAGGCCCCTTCCATTCTCGTGCACATTGGCTCAGCGGCCTAGGGCAGTGTGACTTGTGACCAGGGGTCCCCGCGGCCCCCTTGAACTGTCAGTGTTTCAGCTGGGGACTCACTGTGCTGCCCCTTCTCTTCAGTGCCTACGGTGGCCTTGCAAGACCTCTACTCTCCGTTTTATAGAAAACAAGGCTGAATAACTTGCCTAAGTTTTCCCAATTAAATAAGCAGTAGAGCTCTGTCTGACTCCAGCTCAGTCTGTCCTCATGCCCGAGCTCCCTGCACCACGCACGCTGCCTCTCGGAGTTGCCAGCCAACTTCTTTGCCTTTTTATTTATTTTTTTATTGTTAACCACTTCTTTCCCCTCCCCCTTGCCACTGCCACGTGGACCATCTCCATCACAGAGCCACATAATTGGAAGAAAATTGTTTCTTCCTCAGTCCTACGCTTACTCACAAATAGCAGTTCAAATTTTTTTCTTTTTCTTTTTCTTTTTTTTTTTTTTTAAGATGCTTTCTTTAACCTCAGTTGGATGTTGGAAACCCCATCCGATAGTGGTTAACAGTCGCCAGCATTTTGTGGAAGCTTTCTTTTTACAAAATGTGCTCTCATTTCATCTTCGAAGCAGCCCCATAAAACAGGCAGGTGTTCTATTCTTTCACACCCATTTCACTGATGAGAATTGAGGGTCAAGGATACTGGGAGCTTGCTTCGACACTTGTTTGTTGGCCTACGGAGGCCTGGAAAGGAATAGGTGTCTCCTCCCCACTCCGGCCCCCTCTGGCTTCCCTCATCCCAGGGCTCCTCTTCCATCCAGTATTCCCTGTGTGTCAGATGCTAGTTCAGAAGCTGGTAAGACACTGGGTTGCAACAAAGACCCCCGGGCTCTGACTCCCAGCCCACCACCAGCTTGTTTCTTGTGATTAACAACCTGTGTGTGCTATAGAAGGTAGAAGATTTTCAAGAGAAGCTTCTAGTGTCCAGTGTAACTTTAACCACCACTAGCATGTACTCTAAATGCTCAGTCCCACCTGTGTGGAGATCAACAGCTTGTGTACCGTGGATTTGGGACTTCTGCCAGCGTCCCCTCCATCACCCTCTACTAGCACCACTGACCAGGAATGGTCCTCCTTCCCCTCCTGCTGCCCCCCTCCAGAGGTGTTCCTGGCAGCCACAGGCTAGGCATTGTAGAGGTGAGGTCACTGGAAGGCGAGGTGGGAGAGGGGCCCATGGCAGGGGCCCAAGCAGGGTCCATAGGGAGCAAGGAAGGCTTTGGTGAGAGACACTGGCCGAAGTGAGAGAGGCAAGGAGACCCAAGAGCTGGCCGGGGCCCCCTCTGCCTCTTCCTCCACATCCCAGGAGCTCCTGCAAAGGCAAATCTTGAGTGGTTAAGACTCCACACCCTAGCAGTGTAGAACTAAAAATGGCTTTAAGCAACCAGCAAAATTCCCGATCAGTCACAGCATTCGGAGTGGGAACCAAAGCATCTCCATTTTGAATCATGAACTGTTGCTTATGTGTGGTTTTCCGAAGGAGCTCTGAAGAAGCACTAAGGAATGTGACTGCACCCAGTTCCTCAGCTGGTGGAGGGGGAGCAGGTCCCGTGTCATGACCAGTGGGGAAGGTTCACAAGTTCAGAGTTGGGCTGTAGCTGCCATCTCTAACAGCCAGGGTGGGAGGCCCTTAACTCTGCTTCCCCTCACCTACCGTCACACCAGGAGGCTAGGAACAAGGGGTCTTCAGAAATGAGCCAGCCGCACTGACCTCGGGGGTGTGTGTGTAGGTAGATGTGCTTACAGACTGTAGGACTGTACCTAAAGGTTGTAGATCTTCTCGGTGCTCTGTCCAAGCTCAGCTCAGTGCTGTACGTGGGAGATGATCCTTATCCTCATCTGACAGGGGAGACACTGAGGCACAGGGACAGTAGAACCAAAGTGACCTCAGTGTTAAGGACAGACAGAGGACAAGGTCCCAGACCCCTGGCTAGCCTCCAGGGCCTAACAGCACTCGGGGCAGCCAACCCCAGGCGATGAGAGCTGATAAGGTAGGAAGCCAGGAGGGTCACGGCCAAAGCAAACACTTCTGACCTCATATACGCTCCATCAGAGCCCAGGCAAAGCCTTTCCTTGCAACACCAGCACTTTAGGGTGTCCTGGAATCCCCAAGGTGATGGAGAAAAAAAATCTCTGTATTTTGGGGTGCCTGGGTGGCTCAGTGGTTGAGCATCTACCTTCAGCTCAGGGCATGACCCCAGGGTCCTGGGATTGAGTCCCCCATCAGGCTCCCTGCAGGGAGCCTGCTTCTCCCTCTGCCTGTGTCTCTGCCTCTTTCTGTGTCTCTCATGAATAGATAAATAAAATCTTTAAAAAAAATACAAAATCGCTGTATTTTGAGGTGATATCATCTGAAAAGCTCCTGGGTGGGGAGCCATTGCGATATTCAGATCATAACTCTTTGTAATATTTTTCTAATATTTATATTAAAAACACATGAACAGACCAGTGTTAGGAATATTCAGTCACTAATGCAATTAACATTTGCACATACTTTTTTGTGGTCTTCTGCTCAGAGTCAGTTATTTCCCGATTGTGGAAATAATTAATAGAACAGTTTCCAAAAAACAAAACAAAAAAACCCAAAACCGTGTATCCAATGATGTAATAAGTATAGGCTGACACATAGTCTGTACTGAAGCAAGTTTCCGTCTGTTTCCCGTGGATTTCTCTAATGACATCATTGGACGTGGAAATTACAGCCTGCGAACCATATTAAGTTTCATACCAAATCTTGTTTGTACCACTTTTAGCAACAGCTGCATACAGGAAGGAAATTGTGTCCCTTTATTATAGAATTTGAACTTCTTAACAACAACAACAAAAAAAAACAACCCATGCCTGGAGCCCCCAGATCAACAAAACAAAACAGATTCAAAGAATAGCGTTTGTAGACTCAAACCTCAAGAGATAGATGTGCTGCTCTTCGGAGCCCCTTGGAGGGAACATCGTGATAGAGGGGAAACGAATGTAACTGTTTTTGCTTTACAGGCTGCTTAGAACAAAAGAAAACGAGAATCTGTGGGAACCAAGGTCCCCTGCCTGTGTCTCACCCCTCTTAGGCCTCGGGTGGTCTTCCCCACATGACCTGCCACACAAAGGGTCCAAGCCTGCTCTCCAGAAGCAGGTGCGGGTAGCCAGTGGCTGTGCTGGCTTGGGGGTGGGCACCCCAACCCTGCTGCGTGTTCTCAAGGCCCAGCCTTCCCCAGCTATGGGTCACTGGGCCAGCTGGATGGCATGTGCGTTGGAGGCAGGTTGGGGGGGTGCAGTCCACCCCCAGGTTGATCCCACGACTCCTTTCCCCCTCATCCATTAGCTAGAGACTCCAACGAGGCCACAGCTGTGTTTGCCCTTTGAAAAGCAAAGGGCCAGGGGTTCTCAAATCTAGCTATACCTTGGGCCCCCCTGGGGAGCTGGGGAAGATGTTGAGTACCCACCCCCCGAAGTACATGGATCTGATCTGGAGGGGGGTCTAGACATGAGGGTCTTGTAGAAGTGCCCCAGGGGTCTTCCTTGGGCAGGGAGGGCTCAGCTGTCGACCACCGGTTGGTAAGACAATTCGCGGATGACAGGTTGAGGGCCTTGATGAGTTCTGAGACTTCCAACACGGAAGGCCCATCGGTTCTGCATCCTGAGGCGCACAGAGAAGCTGGGTTCGGGTTTTTGGTTGCATGTCTTACAATGACACAAGAGAGGCTCAAATTAGCAAGGGGCCGGGGGTGTGGTTTGAGCGTATTTGTGAAGGTGAACAGGGTAAGGGCTCCCCCCCAGGTGGAGCCAGGGTGCAGGACACCTTGTGGGAACATCCAAAAGGCACCAAAGGTGGGACTGCGCCTCAGGGGTCGGTGGGTGATGGTTGATGCTGTGTCTTTCCCCCGGCCCCCCTTCCCATGACTGATCTCTGCAGCTGTGTTTTGCAGTGATTCTGGACGTGGGAGCAGCCTCTTAGATAGAACCATTGCTGACAGACGACAGCTTAACACAATTACCTTGCCAGACTTCAGCGATCCTGAGACAGGTGAGAATACTAGACCAGAGGGGACGGAGCGGTATCGGTGAGCGCGTGGGGCCTGCTCCCCACCCCGGGGGCGAGGGGTGAGAGGTGAACCTGGCCAGGGATGGGGTTCAGAAATGTACCCCCCACAAAGAGGTTAAACTCAGCGGAGGCGCATTTCCTCCCGTATCTTTGCAAGTGTGTTCACAGTGGGCGACGCGGGGGTGCCTGCCCCACAGGGTCCTTTGAAATCTTTTTATCCCCCCCACCACGCCCCACCCCGCCCTGCTCTCAGAGCCTCAAATTCAGAACTAAAATTAGATTGTTCGCATCCCCATGAAGCTTCCCCTCTGCTTTTCCGTTTCTCCCTCTCTCTCTTAAGTTTCAGATTTTGCTGAAATCAGGTTTCGATTTTTAATCAGTTGAACATAGGAACACCCCCCCATGTGCCCTCCCCCCATACAAAGGCCCTCTAGGGACATAGGTGCGGCTGAGCCTCTGAGTGTCCCATCCCGACGGGAAGGCCTGTGTGACTTGCCTCCGAGCAGGCGTGCACGCTTCATCCTTTGGGTTCCCACATTTGCCTAAGTACAGAGGAGCACAGATGCCTCTGTGACTCCCAAGCCCCAGATGAGTGCTTCTAGTAGTTACGCTGGCTATTCAGTGGTGATTTGGAGGATGTTAAGACGTTCCCTCCACTTCGAGCCTCAGAGGTGATTCCAGAGCATCATTTGAAAGCTGGTTCTGTTGCTTCTGCACCTTCCCCTGCCCCCGCCCCCTGCCACCCCACAGAGGGCCTGTGTAAGCCTTCGTCCCCATCTGGGTATGCCTTGCCCACTGGCTTCCTGAAAGGAGCCCCCAGGTCCTTCTCCTGACCTCATGGCAGGCCCCAGCCCTGACCGAGCCCTTTTAGAGAGAGCCGCGGGGCAGCCCTGACGTGTGCACAGCCATCTCCCAAAAAGTCCTGCTCCTGGTGGGACAGGAGAGATGTCACCCTGTAACGGCCAGATGTGCTGCCTGCCCTGGCCCATGCTCACAGCTGCCTGCAGACTGTACTCCTCTACTAGGCTCCCTTTTACCAAATGTAAAGTCAGCTTGAGAAGTGTGATCCCGGGGCCCCCAGGCTCCCAGGTCAGAGGATTGTGGGGTGTCGGGTGCAGCAGAAATTGCAGATCCGTGCAGTGGCCTGACCCCCCCCTCCCCAATTGACCAGCAGTACTTAGGGAGGTGCCTGTGACTTTGAACAGCACAGTAGCCCTCCTAGAGACACTGTGGAACCCCCTCATTGTCAGAAAGGGAGGATCAGACTGTGGAAACTCACCACTGCGGGGTGAGGCTGGGACACGGCGGCAGAAGGGGAGGCTCTGGGCTGATCCAGAACAACTGCTGTCACTGCCCAAGACCACCCCTCTCCCTGCCCTGCCCCCTCCTCAGGATCCTGTGAGGACAGCCCTACTAAATTCAGACCCCCTTTCCTTCCAGCTGGGCCCAGACCCTAATTTCCCCAGAAGTCCCAAGGCTTGAATGCCACATCGCAGGGAATACAGATTGTGGCAGCACATGAGCGAGGTCTTTATTAGGAGTTCTCCCCTTTGGCCCATAGGATGCTCTCCCCTTTGGCCCGTGTCTGCCCAGCCAGGTTAGACCTTCTCAGAGGCTGTAGTATCCAGGCGAGGGCATATGTGGCATACTCAGGACACTGCTGCTCCCTTCTCCCGAGTGGGCTTTGGTGCATCTGCCCTGCCACTCACTCTAGGGGCCCAGGGGTCGGAGTCGGGATTGCTGCACCGGTGCCCTTGAATGATAGGAGGATGGCATGGCCTCCCAGGCCTGGCCACTGGCCGTTTTATTGTTGTGGTTGCACTATTCCCATAAGTCTTGTAGGGATTCCTTCCACTGGCCCTGCCCTCAGGCCTGACCAGATCCACTGTAGCTAACAGAATTGGTTTCATTAAGTGGATGCAGCAAATTGAAAAGCACCCCCCTACACACACACCAATAGGTCCCAACCATGGAAAAAGAGGAATCAGATAGAGTGACAGTCTTAGCGTTAAAGCTATGAATCATTGTCTTTTCTTAGGGATAAGTTGGTAGTTCCTTAAATAGAGGATGAAAAAAATTTTTTTTTCTTCCTTTTGCCTTCAAAACAGGATGTGGAGTAAGGAGATTTATCTTTAATCATTGGTAGATATTACCAGACCCTTATCCCAAGCAAAAACCATTCTTTTCGCTTGAAAGTTGGGTCCACTGTGTCTGGGACAATTTTTCACTGTAGCCGCGGGGGTCTCTCCGGCTCTGGGTGTTTCTCCAGCTGTGAGACACGAAAGTGGCAGAAACGGCTTCCCTTCCCAAGTGCCCAGCCTGTGCACTAGACCACAGATCAGCCTAGAAAGCTCAGCACCCCATTGTCACGACGCTGGGACCATGACAATACGGTCCCACCCCATTGCCCTCTCCCTAGGAAAACCTTAACTTTCAAGTAAACTATATACATAAGCACTTCTCGTTTAAAAAAAAAAAATTAGGACTAGCCAAGGTCTACACCCTTCCAACTGAAAAACGGTCTCCTCTAGGATTGTCCCGGATATTGTAGGTTAAAGATGCATTACTTTCAGTGGATCATGCTGCCGAGTCTGTGCCCAGGTAAATCTGAGTTATTTTTATCACATGATGTTGTTGCAGAACAATTAATTAAATAACCAGTGGAAAAAACAACAAATTTGTTTTCTTTCAAAAAGCACTCATATTCTATTGTCCAGTAGAGGAATGATTGTGTATTACATGACCTCATTTTCTTTGCAGCGTATGTGAGTATATTAAAAGCTAGTTTATTTTTTCCTTTGTGTCTCTAAAGCTTTTTATTTTTTTTTGCCTTTATCCTTTTTTTTCTCTTTCACTTTTTTTTAGTGTCAGCTTCCTCCTCCTCCTCCTCTTCTCTTTCAAGAACCGAATCTCCTCTCCACCTGTTTATGTCTCCTCATCTTCGTTCTCATCCCAAACTTGACACCTTTGTGTGGCCCCCTGCTGCTCATTCATTCAGAGACCCGGGCCCCCGCCAGGAACCCTCTCTGTGTAAACATGGTTTATGGTTTTTTGGGTTATTTTTTTTTACCTTTCTCATTAGACCTGCTTCATTTGCCTGATGTTTCATTTTCTGATAATCTTCCTAACTGATAAGCTGGATAGGAAACTCCATCAGATTTATCTGCGGAAAAATCTTGCCAATTTGGAAATCCCAAAGCAGTGTGGGGAGAAGGCGACAGTGGTGCCCTAGTTCCAGGCTCCTCTTTGAAAAGTAAAGGAGACCTGTTTTGAGCAGAATAAATAGAAGCTTTTCTAGACAATTGCTTCTAGTTCTCTAGTTGAATGCTTTCCCAGAGTTGTTCTACATGCATAAAAATCTCTTTTAAAAAAAAGCAAATTAGAACATTTGGCGAATAATTTATTTCTATATGTTTCTTACTATTTAGAAATTAGTTCAAGAAGCATATAGCAATCAAGGTGCTATCATAAAGAGAATGGCCATAGGCCCTTTAAATTTGTGGTTCTCAAGTTCTACTGTGCACTAAAATCACACGAAGAGCTTTGAAAACTGCAGATCTCCAGAGCCCCACCCCTGGCGTTGATGATTCAGCAAGCCCAAGCTGGAGCCCAGGCATGTGGATCTATAGAATACCCACTTAGGATTCCAGGGCCGACGGGTTACATACTTCATCTTGAGAAATGGTGCTCTAAAGTTGTTTTCCATGTGCAAGGAAGATGTAGGGTTTGTGTGAAAACCTAGGGAACTATGCAGAGAAATTGGACATTATTTTCTTCTAATCCTGCTTTTAAATATGGAAATTTGAAAGTCTGTTTTATGGTGTTTGGGGACCTGTGTCCATTTAAACAAAACAAAATACATCCCTATGTTAAAATGAAACACTGGTTGATCACATCCTTAAATGGGACCTCAATGTGGGTCTCACCAGGCGGGGCCAGGCTTGCCTTCTTTCACTCATTTATTCGATGTTCCCTTTTACTGAAGCGCTGCCAGAAAATTTAATCTCTGTATCCACGATTTATAAGGGCTCATCTCTATCCCAAATGCTCACTTACAGGCTGAACAAAAGCTCCTAAGGGGAGCTGCTGTCAGAAAGAACTACTTTCTCTAATGTGCTCATCTTTCTGATGGCTACCCTGCCGGGCTAACCTCATGCACACACAAAGTCGGGGCAGAAATGAGGCTATCATCTAAAATAAATCATTCAAACCAAGAAACACTCTGGCTTTACTTCTCTGCATGGTAAGTGTTCTGAACTTTGCTTTCATGGCAATCCCAGCTTTATGAAATGCAAGACGAAGATAATGTTTATAAACTGCTTACGTTGTTTTTAATCTGTTTCTTAAAATAGACTTTTTCCCTTAATACAATGCCCACGGGTGATTGCCACCTACGGTTTTTCCAGAAAAGTTGTTTTGTGCATTGGTTTTTGCCCAGTTTTTTGTCTGAAAGTGGGACCTTACCCACTGTTCTAGAACAGCGTGACATGTTCCCACGGGTCCATCCACACCTGCTGCACAACAAACTCCCCTGCCTCTAGCCCCCTGCCTGGGTTTACCTGGTCACATCCCAGAGAGCCCTGCGTTCCTTTCAACCTTTGAAGGCTTAAATCCTGACTCTTTGTGAGACACCTGACACCAGGTTAATTAGTAAATTGTTAGGGCCGTGAGCACCACTGGGCTTTGTGCTGCTTGTGCTGTGTCCCAAGCAGGACTCAATTGTTTATTCCTTGTGAAACCATGAGTCATCTCCCACCCTTAGGGAGTGCCTCGCCCTGTACCCAGGTGTTTCAACCAAGACTGATAAGCCCAAGAATCTTTTTGTTCCCCCATAGATACAACATCTAGTTAAAGAAAGGGAAAGCATACCAAGCATTACTGATAGATGTAAAATTTCTTGATTAAAATTGTAATGAATTTGAATGCCAGCCCCTTTCACTAGGACAGATAGCCAAAGGCCTGACATTCTCTGAATTTCTCCCTCCAATCCTTTGACTTCATAAAAGCGAAAACTAGCCCAAGTCTACACGCTGTCCGGATCATGATTACGGTTAATGGTGGAAAGATCTGAAAACTGCTTGTTTGATTATTTTTCCCTTCCCGTTGGAATTTCCTGCCCTGGAAACAAAACACATTACATGAATTGGTCAGCTCTCATGTGCTGGGTGAACATTTAAACGTAGAGGGGAATGCCCAGTTGGCCTTTCTTTGGTTTAAAAAAAAAAAAAAAAACAACCAAACAACATTGTTAGTGGAAAAACATGTGTCACTCTTGAATTGAAATCTAATTTGAGACAGCCAGACTTACAGTTGGAAGGTTATTAGAACTCTGTTTGCTTTTTTAGCCTTAATTTTGATTTTTTAAATGTTTCGTTTCTTGGTTTTAATTTTTGATTTGATTTGTTGTTCCAAGGCAACTCTCCAGAAGTATACTTTCATGGTTTTCCCTCCCTTTTTTCAGTTAGTAAGTAGTTTACCAATCTATTAACTTTTCTGAGGGTCTCCAGAGTCACGCTTCCCTCCACCATGGAACGTGTGTCGTAGTTGTTGGTCGTTGGGAATGCTGAGATGATGTGGACGCAAAGCTGCCACCCGCTTGCCCACTCTGCCACCTGGGGCCCATCTCTCCTGAGATGCTAGCGCGTTCCCTCCCCATCCCCACCCCTGCAGCCTGGGTTTCGGTGCTGGGGAGGCAGTACTTCTCTGGGAGGGATTACAGAAGGAGGCAGTGCAGGAAAGATGTCCAAGCCAGGTGTGCAGTGGATTGGTCACAGCCCCACTAGTGCCAGTTGGAAGTATGAGACACTCAGCCTTCCTAGTGCAGGTCATCCATGAATTTGGGCTAGAGAGAACCTGTTGAATCTTGAAAATTTTTTTCCAGTTCAACTATTATTGCCACATAGAAAATTAATTCTAATAAATTTTCCTTAAAAAAAAAAAAAGCCAAACAGACACCATAAAATTTAACCTGCATCTACCAAAACTTAAAACTAAGCAGTTCTCTGGGTGTAGGACTAGTACTTTTAGGTGGTATTCTTTTAAGGCATGAGTGAATTATCACATTTTCCAAAGGATGTTTCTTAGCTGCTGATTCTCTGTAGTCAAATATTTTTGGGGAAATATTGCATCTCCCTCTTAGAGACTGACAGTTCACGGTAGCACCGTAAAGCCTCTGAGAAGTCCTGCAGCTTAAAAAATTCAAGGCTCTGAAGTTTGACCTCTTGTTCCCAAAAGCTAATTTCATCATTTTACCCATCCTGTGGAATCAGTGTTCCGGGGACTGCATTTTGGGCAATGCTAATGTATATAGTGATCCAATACATTCGAATGATCTGAGCCTTTGCTGCTTAGAGCAAATATTCCTCTCAGGGAGTTGATTTCCCATCTGAAATCTAGCTCAGCTCAGATGTGACTTTATTTCTGGCTTTTAAAAGTGTCTATACAAATAAAATATTTTTTTAATAAAAGTCCATAGTAGAAACATACGTTTGGTATTGTCAATACATTACGGTTCTTCGGGGAAGGAAAAAAAAGTTTCACTGCCAGGGTTCTTTCAAGTCCGGCTCCTTAGATACGTGGAAAAGATTTGATTTTCAGAAATCAGGTCCCATTCAAATCTTCAGGCAGTTCCCATGGGGCTTGATGCGTTTACACAAGGGACTTAGCTCTCTTCCATGGCCACCTTTCCAGCTCCCCAAGGTCAGGACAGCTAGGCTCTGCAGAAGCACCCCAGCAACTCATCTCATCTCCATCCGCCTTCGCTTCCCTGTCTCTAAGGATGTCAGTTTACTAATTCTAGCTCACGCACACCTCTGTGGTCTGCCAGGAGCTCACCCTGACCTCCAGGCCGGGCCAGATGCCCTCTCCCGAGTGACAGCGGGCAGCTGTGGCTCCCCCCGGGAGGTGGCCACCTGGCAGGAGGAGCCCCTTGGGGATGCAGCTGCCCACCCCCCCTCTAGTGGGCTGTGTGCTGCTCCTTAGACCTGGGCACCCCGGGCGCCCCCATCCTGGAGCGCTCTCCCTTCTCCCCAATATCATCTTGGAGGAAAATGTGCGTTTTATTCGCCTCTCCAAGATCATGCTGAGATCAGGAATGCCAATGATGTGGGTTCTCAGCCTCCCATATCCCTGATTCCAGTGAAACCCCTGCTATGTTGAGGAGCCCATAACCCGGGGAAGAGAATAAGCTGATTAATGACCAAACACACCTCTCAAAGGAAATAAGGTGGAGAAACAAATTCAAGGTCATTGTTTTTTGCCCCTTTTCTTATGGCTAGCATTTCATTGTTGACTTTGCATTTTCTGACATTTAGAAATGCCTCTAATGATGAGGAAGTGACTAGACAGTGGGGTGTACCTTTCACCCCTGCCCCTGCCTAAAGGAACAAAGTCAAGTTTTTAAAATCTGCATGTGAAGCAGTTACTCTAGTGATGACCCCACCACCCTTGAGGGGTAGCCATCAAAAGAATTCAGCCCTAATGATTCAAGGATGAACCTTTTCTTGCTCTTTTATTGCAATTAAAATGAATTCCCCCCAGCTAGTTCTGTGGTGTCTTTCTTTAAACCAGATTGAGGAGAGTTTTAGGAGATTGGCAAGTCAGTAATAAATGGCAGTCAGAGCTTAAGGAGTGTGTGTCCAGTAATTAGACCATCACCCCAGCCGGGGAGGCTTTCCCCAGAAGCAGCCTCCCCCAGGCACTTGAGTCCAGGCACACACAGCCTCATGAATATGCAGCAGCGAGGGTTTCTAATGGAGATGAAAGCATCTGCCTGGTGTAGCCTTCCAGAAGGTACTGTCTCCGGCCCAGAGCCATGGCTCTGCTCACTCTGACAGCTGGCATCTCCCCACATGCTTGTGAACGGCTGCCCTCCACGCTTCCCGTGTGAGCACCTGCCAGCAGCATGCCTGCCCCCCCACCACCCCGCATGCCCACAGGGGGCCGTGCACCCCAGCCCCTCCCTGCCTTAGCGGGATCCTTCCCTAAAGCTTTCCCCGGAGAGAACTCGACCCCTTCAGGAGAAGACCCATCCTGTCAGGTTTCATGTGCTTGATGATTCTGTTAAAAGTCACTTGGAAACTGTGATCTCGTCTTGAGACCGTGGGTTTGGCTGTCCTGACTTACTTGGCTGTCTTAACCTCTTTTCCACTCCGTGAAAAAGGAAAGCATCTCATGGAACGGGGACCAAAGTTATTTATCAGAGGGACCCACAAGCAGGAGGCCTCCCTGGCAGTGGGAATCGGGTAGGAACGGCGGTTGCCCGTAGAGCGCCACAGCCCCTCGCTCCTGTCACACTGGTAGACACGCCACGAAGAGGGAATGTGGCGGCTGTGGGGGGGACTGAAAACGGGCCCGGGAGGAGCCCCCCCCCCAGCTCCAAGTCAGCCTCCTCAGAGAAGCACGACTGCCTCCAGCAAAGATGGGAACTGCCCTCACACCCAAGGGAAGGGAGGACCAAAGTGTTTAATGTTAAAAAAAAAAAAAAAAAGAAAAGGTATAGGACAATATGCCTGACTTGGGGGGTTGACGTGAGCATGGACTCTCCTCCCCCTTCAAAAAATAGGAGGCCCTCATCACTAGCTACTGAGCTGCTGTCTCCTCCAACCCCGAGGATGTCCTGGTTCTGAGCACAGGTGGCAGGTGGGAGAAGGTCACCGGGCTGCCAGCAGTCTGCAGTGTTGGACTGATTTTTGCTTTCCAGCCCCATCTCGAGAAACAGACCTTCTTCCCCTGTTAAAAATGAAAATCGTAAGCAGAGCTCCCTGGCAAGAATGCTTAGTCACTCGGGTTGCTATTCAGTATTCAGGGTCTTTAAGAGGTTCGAACTGTTGCCTTTTCCTTTTTATTTGAATCGTTTGGGGGGCAGGGCACACGGCTTCTCAGAACTGGATATTGAATAAACTCTAGTGACAGGTAATATTGAATCATTTCAGAACACGGAGGAAATAGGTGCAGAGATTCATTACCCAGGGCTGTGGGGGTTGGGGGGGGCGGTTCTTTTCAGAAAAACGTGGGGAGCACAGGTATGTCAGGGAGAATATGGGACTTGGGGCCCAGCCGGGCTCTCCATCCTTCCACAGTCATGCATGTGAGGCATCCGAGGTAATTCCGGGACTGGGAAGCAAAAGGCAGCCCAAACCCCAGGCAAACACGTGCGAGACGTGCAGTAAAGGATTTTTGTCGCGTGTCATATAACACTTCCCCTCGTTCTGGATGCCGACGCCCGCCCAGTCCCCAGGTGGGCAGAGTCTCATCTAAGATCTAGTCTAGGAAGCTAGGAGGGGAGGGGGGCGCACACCCTTGGGACCGGGGGGGCCCCCGGCACCGTCAGGACAGCTGAACTATAAACATCGGCCGTGTGCTCAGTGGCCTGCCTGTGAACATGTGCATTACAGAGCATGACCAAGCCGTGTCACTTATGCCTTTTGTCTGATGGGACTGTCGCCTCTGAGACCCCTCTGAATGTGAGGTGGGGTTCACATGCGACTGCCACCTTGCAGGTCTGCGTGAAGGCAACCACAGGTGGAGTGTGCTCTGGTGTTCGGAAAGGCCCCGGCTGCCTCAGCAATCTGAGCTCCCCAAGGCCCGTTGGCGAGGGTCTCCTAACAGGCTTGAGCACCTGAAGTCGGTGGCCTTGGTCCTGAGTCCTCTCAACTGTGGGGAGAGAGGCCTATCCACTGCGGCTTCCGGGTCCTCTCTGTGGCCCCCCTCCGCTCCCCACCCCAGCCCCACATGTGGTGGTCCAAGGGGAACCCAGACGGAAGCCCCGGCAGTGGGGCTCACAACAGTTCCTCAGGTGGCACTTCACCTTCATATCAGGTGTCCAAACTAACATTTTCTTCCGGGCTTCTGGGTGGCAGGGAATAGAGAGCAGTTGGCCAGAGGATGTACGGCTCTCAGCCCCAGGGCATCTGGTGCCCCCTGAACCATCTGGACAATTAGGTCACAGCACAGGGACCAGATGTGAGGGCACGCCCACCCTGGCTCCGGTCAGCTTTTGGTTCGGCTGGTTTCACAGTGGCTTTTCGGAGCCTCTGTGCCCTGTGCCTGAGGAACTCGGTGCAGCATAGCAGGTGCTCGGCCTACAGGGTTAGGATGGTGATAAGCACGTCTCGAATTAACGTGATAAATAAGAGATGCACAGCAGCCGGACACTCTCCCTGGCTTACCTGTGGAACCTGATTATGTGGCAGCTTATTCCTCCAGGGTCTTGGATTTCCAATTAGAAACATATCTTATATTCCTCCCTCCAGTTCCTTTTTTTAAGCCTCAACTTGTCCATTTCCCCTAGGGCAATAATCCCTTCCACCCCCACATACACTGTGGGAATACATTTGCTTTGGTGAGAAAGACAAGGGTTGCCTTTTTAAAAATATACATGTTGGTTAGAACTAGCATTTCTAGTTGCGTACCTACAGAAATCCAAATCTATTTTGATATTTAGCATTTCAGTCCTAGGGGACAGTAATTCACAGGCTCTTTTTTATTATTATTATTATTCCATTAGATCTATCCATCCTGATTCATAACGATGCTTACTTTTTTTCCTCTAAATTCTAATCCGATGGAAGACTTTGACTTACTGCATTATTGCCAGGAAAAGTAGATGTTAACTATTCGGTGAGGTTGCCGTGATTATAGGCATGTGGCATCGTCCACAACTGCACGAGTGCTCAACTACCCATCCCTAGTTCAAAACAGGAAGGGTCTCTGCCCTTGTGAAGCATGTGTTAAAGGGGATCGACTTGGAGGGGAAAGTCGCAGTTCTGCGCCCCCCCCCCCATTTTAAATGGCTTAGTTAATATTAGTCATGGGGGAAGGTCATGGAGCGAGGCACGGTGTTCAGTCTACTACACGCCACTGTCATGGGCAGTCTGTGTGGCTGGAGGTGACGACAGGCATGCCAAGAAGGCCTTTGAGACAGTGAAGGTTCTGGCCTCTGAGCCATTGGGAGGCCAGGAGCGTAGAGCATGAAGGGGGGACCACTGTCTTCCAGACTCCAGACACTGACACATCTGTTGACAGTTCCCATCCATTCTGCAAGCACTCGCCTGCTGGCTCTCCCGGGCCCAGCGTCATTAGACCCTAAAAGCACCTCATGTAGGGCCTACCTCCATATGAGAACCAATTTAGGTCACCAAAGTAAACTCAAGGTTGAGAATCCAGCCTTCTAGAACCACACATCAGAATAACTCAGAAAACGGTGAGTCCATCCCATGGACAACCGTCCCCCAGGGAGGTGGGGGTGTTGCTGTAGGAGCACCAAGGACCCAAGGCCCACCTTCCTACAGGACAGTGGCAGGGAGAAGAAACAGAAGGCTCACAGCAAGCAGCCTTCCTGGAGGAGGTGGCATCAGAGCCAGATTCAGAGGCTAGACTTGTAGTTAAGGCTACTGGCCGAGTCCTTCTTTTGCCGCCCACTGGCTGTGTGACTTGGGATAAGTCCATAACCTCATTAAATCTCAATTTTGTTATCTAGATAACATAGTTAGCTGCCTCACAGAGTCGTTTAAAGGTTAAATGAAATAATATATGTAGAGCTCTGGCCGGAGTTCCTGAAATCTGCCTTTGCCACGTTCATAAAACTGATACCCACAGCTGTCACCACGTGCCAGGCCTTCTTCACAGTGAAACATACAATCACGTGAATAATTAGCCACCTTAGCTGTGTCTCGCCGTCCCGAAGAGAAGAGACTTTAACAATAGTTCTAATTAACTTGTTTGCAGACCAAATAAAATAGTGAATCCACATAGCAAAATTAGCCCCCCTCGAAAGTCACGGGTCTCCGTTAGCATAAGGACCCACAGAACCTAGTAGAAAATGTGTAGAGAGTCTTCCTTCGGCATTCATTCATCGTTGTTATTTGTAAATGAGTTACCGACTAAATATTTTAAGCCTTCCTCAGTTGTGATACATGATGCAGCAAGTACCCATAGATATAACGAACCCCCATAAGCAGAATCCCTGGAAGGGGTCTCAGGAGCTCTGCAGAGTCTAGAAAAGGATCCTGAGGCCAGGAGGTTCTCCCTGGAACTCTGTTCCCCGGAGTCTTGGGCTGCAGGGAAGCAGGCATGCGCAGAGTCTGCCTCCAGGCTTTTTCTGCAACCAAATGTCAGTGACAGGACGCCTCTCTCCGTCTCAAGGTGGGTGGGTCCCCCCTTGGCCATGCGCAGCGGAGTCACCTGGGTGATGAGCCTGAGGCCTGGCCTCCCCACCACTGTCACTTTAGTGATGTGGATCGTCTGGGGCTTTCGGGGGCCTCACGGGTCTTTTAAATCCCCGAGTAGTTCTGATAGGAAGCCACGGATGAGAACCTCTGCTCTAGGTGCCCGATAGGAAGGCAAGCCACGTTGATGACGTCAGAGTATACCAACAGCGGCCTTGTTTATTTAGCCAACAGTTGCTACTGAAATTCTCAGGGAAAGCTCTATCAAATCCTTGTGCTCAAAGCTCAAATATTTCTTGTCCATAGAGAGTCCAGAAAAAACCAAGACCTGCACCCCCCCCCAAAAAAAACCTACAGCAGTCTAATCATTTTTGCTGTTTCGATTTTATTTTTTTTGTAAGTCGTCAGACATACTCTGTCTAAGCGAGGGTCAGCTCCTAGCTGACCTCCGTGAGTTCTGGATCACAAGGGCATCGGCTGGTGTCTTTTAACTTGGCCTCCAGGTGCCTCCTCCGGAGGGGCAGGGGGGCGCGTTCCCTCTCCAGGACTCACCGTCCATCCCGAGAGGCGCTCTGCCCTTGCTCATCCCCGTGGACGCCCTGCATGGATTATCGCAGCAGGCAGATTCCCAGCCCGGCTCCCATCCGCCTCCCGTGAGCCCCCTCCGCCAAAGCCCCCGCTTGAAGGATTTGAGTGTATTTAGAGGCACCCATGTCTCCTTCAAGTTGGAACAGTCAAAACACAATATGGATGGCCAGCCTCGTGCTGCAAATACCCTCAAAATGAATAAATTGCGGTGCATTCCGAAGCCCCAACAGAAATTATTTTTATGCTCGCAGTTTTGTCTCTGCCCAACTATAACCAGCTCGGTTCTATTTGAGTGGTCAGCAGTCGTCTTTCCTTATTATCACTAGTTGAAACCTTAGGGTGAGTTGATAGTCGCCACTCCCAGTGTCGGACTGTTTGCCTCCGTATCGCACTTGACGATGGATTAGATATTAAGAGCGTGGCCCGTGATCTGAGTCTGAGCAGGCTGCAGCATGAAATAACTGGGACTCCTGCTCTCAGCCCTGAAGCCACACCTCCAAGAGGGACTGTGGGGAACAGGTGAGGAGCAAGCCATGTGGAAGGAGGGGGCTCCAACCGCCAGGACCCCTAGGACAGCACCAAGACCAATGAGTCTTTTGGTGTCTGAGTAGAAGTCGCTTGACCCGCTTGCTTTGACTAGTGGATGTGCTGGGTCTGCTCCTCTCCTGGGCCTTTCAGGACGACAGGCCTGGCCCCAGAGTCAGACAGGTACAACTCCCGAGCCCGGGCACCTCAGCGATTTCCCCGCCTTGATAACAGACATTGCTCCTACTCGGAGCAAAGGCGTGCTCTTCCTCCCATCCTTATATTCTGTTCTAGAACATGGTCCCAAATCTCAGGGTGCGGGCCACCTCTCGAAGGCCATAGAGAGGATTGGCGGGTTGCTGGGTCTGTCTTGAGAATGGACTCCATCCCCGGGAGGCAGGGACGACCCCTCCCGCTGCAGGGACGACCCCTCCCGCTGCTGCCCGGAGGGTTTGTAGGTCTAGGCCCCACCCCCTGCCCTGGGGTGCTTTGTCACCTCCCTTCGTAGGACATCATGCTACCATGTTGCAGCTTGAGCTTCATGGCCGTATGGCCAGCTCAGCCCCTGTGCTGCCCCGACCCCGGCACTGCCCTACCCAAGGTCCTGGAGGGCCCGCATCCCACAGCAGGTGCCCTAGCCATCGGCTAGCAGGTGAGCCAGAGCGAAGGGTGGAAACTCAGGTCCGAGGCCACGAGGATAGTCTGTATCTCTCTATGGACATAAACCTTGGCAACATCACGAGGACCGGAGTGTGCTGTCCGTCTTGAACGTGTGTCTGTGTGTGGGAGGGGGCGGGGGGGGGTGGGCTGGTCGGGCGGGCCTGCCCTGTCACGTCTGATGCCGTCTTCTCGAACACCCCCCTCAGGCTCCGTCCACGCCACCTCAGTGGCAGCCTCAAGAGTGGAGCAGGCGCTGTCGGAAGTGGCCTCATCTCTGCAGAGCAGCGCCCCCAAGCAGGGCCCGCTGCACCCCTGGATGACACTGGCGCAGATCTGGCTCCATGCAGGTACTGCTATGCCCCCGCCGGGGGGCCTCACCCACACCCACTGGCCCACCTAGCCCACGACCCCTGTCTTGAGGGATGTTGAGAGGTCACCACCTTTTCGGTCACACACCAAAATGTCGCTCCTTCTCTGTAGGACTGTGGGATACTGTGTGACTCCCCTTCCATCCCCTGACCGGACACCCTGGCACTGAGGGGGCATCCAGCAGAGACTCTCCCACTGGACCCTGAGGGACCTGGGAAGGTCGCCGTGTGGGGTGCAGGGTGTGCGTGACAGCAGGAGCCATACACTGACTCCCAGGCGCTCTTTGCGGGGGCCAGAGGAGCAGGGCATCCTGGGCTCCTTAGTCTGGAAGTCCGTGGCTCCCTAGCAGCTCTGTAGACAGGAGCTAAAAGCTTCAGCTCAGCGGGGACTTCCTCATCCGTGGGGGGGGAGGGGGGCAGTAGCATCCACCTCCTAGGGTGATGAGCGCAGTGCCTGGCGCCTCCCAGCAGTGGCGTCCCGGATAAAGTCGTCGTCGCGTTGCTGACTCAGATGTCTTTGTCAAAGCCTGGGAAGGGGCAGCGCTTTCAGTGTCCCTGCCCGCCCCCCACTACCCCCCCCCCGCACCCACCAGCACCCCTGTTCACCCACAGAGCGGGGAGCGGGGAGCAGCAGCTGCAGAACTGGAAATCAGCCCAGAAAGCAGATCTGATCACCCCACCTCCACTTCCACATGGCTGCTGCCGTGTGGCTGAAAATCCCCCCAATAAATCCCACCCCCAGGCACCGTAGCAAAGACAACCCCACTCCACAGAGGCTGCTGATTTACTTACAAATTTATATTTATGTGTAAACAGTAACCTCAATTCGCCAAGAGTCATCACGGGGTCTGTAGGACCCCGACGGGGCCTCCCCAGGCAGGACCCTCAGGGCACACCGAGGAAATCCAGGTTTGGCTGGGGAAAGTGCTCATTATCCACCATTGTCCGCCTATTTACCCCTTTTTCTGCCAAGGCTAATTGTGTGATGCTGAACCGTGTTTGGAACCACCGGCCAACCTTCATACACAAAAACATGATCCTGTTTACCTGGCCTTGGCGTGTCACAGAGCCCAGCTCAGCCGGCCCCTCCTGTGTTGGCATCTTTAATGGAGCCATAACAGCTACCATAAATTAGCAAATTACATTCTTCCAAGCAGAAGCACAAAAGAGGGATGATTCATGAATGTGCTGATTATTCTTCCTGCGCAGACGCTTGCCAGCATGCGGCCTCTCGCTGGGCCCAGATGAGCTGGCGCGCAGGGCGCGGGGGCAGCAGGAAAGCCTTGGTCTCCACGCCCTGCACGCCTGCAGAAAAGCCCAGTCCACGGTCTAGGGCCTGGTGCCTGGCTCGGTCAGCTGCCCTCACCAACAGTGACTGCGGAGAGCAGAGAGAGGGACTGAGAAGGCTTCCATGTCTGGGCCAGGAGAGACAGGCCGGCCCTGCAGGGCCAGCGTCGGGGGCCGAGGTGTCCTTCAGATCCCAACTGAGGTTGAGATTTTGCAGGGCCAGAGTCTAACCAAACCCAACAGGACTGAAGGCAGTCCATCCTCAGCTGGGATGAACTTCCTCGACCCAGTCACAGGCTTTGCTCCTCTTCGCTTCTTGGAAAAGTCAGTGACCTGAGTGAGGGTCACTAGGTTCCGGGACAGCTTCTCCTGCTGGCTTGCTGCCCTTTATTGAGTTATCCAGACTCTCTTCCTTTCTGCATGTCTCACATGACTCTTGGGAGGAAATCTTGTAGCCGCTTATTAGGACGTTGAGGAACTTGGTAGCTAAGATTCGGGCTGGGCCTGTCCGTGGATTTGCACGTGATCGTGTAATATCTGCTTCTTGTTGGCGTAGCCCGTAGCACAGAATAAAGCTCTCGTTGTGGCTCTTAACATGCTCTAGGCTGGTGGGGTTGGACTTTGGAAAACGGCTGCCAAACCTGCCCTATAAACTCTGGACAGAATATGCAGAGTACTTCTGTCGTAAGACTGAATTGAGTCGATTAGAATCTGTCTAGGATTTGTGCCATATTGACTCCTTCAAAACAATGACCTGGTTTAAGTCAAGATTTAGGATAGTATATATTCATTCATATGGTCTGAAGAGGTAACTTGAGAATGAACTCAGAAAATAAACAGCTTCTTCTGAATTGTAAGGTTTTACCACTTGTGGTGTGAGTTCTGTTGCTCCAAGGGGCAAGACGACAGTGACAAAACATGCCCTCCCCCCCACTTTTGAAACATATATGGTTTCCTCAGTAGGTCTAGTAGTACTGCCAGACTAACTTTTGCAGGCTTTGGAAGAAACTGTTAGATGAAGGCCTAACCCCCCAGGCCATGGCATTTCTGTGGATTTGTGGGTCTTTCCTGGTGGTTTTCTCTGGTGAGCTGAGTCTGGTGGGAGCTCATGACCAGAGTCCACGGTGAGGCTGCCCCAGATCTGAGGCGTGCAGGTGAGGTCACTCGGAGACAGATTTCCATGTCCAGCCTATTGCATGAGCAGCTCTCTGGGCCACCAGTGTGTCCATTTTAATGGCCAAGAGATCATGAGCCAGACACTTGAACTGCAGCTGCCCTGTGAGGGAAGGGGCCAATGGCCCAGCAGGGAGCACAGATCCAGGAAGACCAATGACATTTGACCACACAGGGTCCTTCCATCCCTGAGTGAGGGGGACCCACTCCCTGGGCACACCCTTTCCCATGTCCTGGCCCCCTCCAACCCCAGTGTCTCAAACTCTTCACCAGGACAACTGGTGGCCAACTGCCATGGGCTGTGTCCGGGTTTGGCTCCTTAGTTTGTTGAGACCCATGTAACAGTTGCACTTAAATTATTTTTGAATACACAGTATCTGCATGTGATACACAGTTGAAGAGGTACAAAAGGTGGAGAGTGAAAAGTCTCCATCCTGCCCTGGAGCCGCAGCCACCATCACCCGCAGCAACCACTAAAAAGACCCCGTGTGCTCTCCAGAGCAATCGCACACGCTCAGAGGTCACTGCTTAGCAGCACACATAACGCTGACGCAGGCTTTTGACTGGTGGCGTGGTATAAATCTGCTGTATGAATTCACCATAATCTAACCAGTACCCACTGATTGGCATTTCTAATGTTCTCCTGTTACAGACAATGCATCAGTAAGTATCCTTCTATATATTGTGTGTAAGATAAATTCCTAAAAATGGAATTGATGGATCAAAGGGTGTATACTCTTTAATTTTGCTAAGTTTTGTCACATTGGCTTCCACAGAGTAGTACCAGTGTACAGCCCAGCCAACTCTGAGCGAAGGCCCATTTTCTTGTGTCTTTGTCAACGCAACAGATTCTCTGACCTGTAGACCTCTGCCACTCAATAGATGAAAAATGGCATTTCAGTGGTCTGTGTTGGTGGCTTTTGCTCACTGAGCTTTCCTTTTTTATTTGTAAGCATTTATTATGTGTCAAAGAAACTTGCCTCGTGTCTGTGATATGAGCTATAAATATTTTCTCCTATCTTTGTTAGTGTTTGGGCTTGTCCTTTTTTGGGGGGACTAGTTTTTTAAAAATACATTTATCGATTTTTTTGTGTGTGTGGCATCTGGGCATCACATGATATTTACCCATGTTATGGTCTCCTCTCTGGAAATTCCAAGTATCTTCTGGGGCTGTTGGTAGGGGTTATCACCTCCCATTTTGCAGGAGGGAAACCCAGGCCAGATATAAATAAATGCCTCTGTGGTCTTACTGGGGAAGGAGTCAGAGTCAAGGGAGTGACATCATAGCATTTGATGTTTACTGTGCCACAAAACCCATCTCCTTAGGAGCCATACAACTTCCTTGGCATGCAGACCTCAGGGTTGGCCGTCGGAGAGTCATAGATTCACAGACACTCCAGGCTGGACCGGAGGCTTCGCCAAGAGAGGCAGCTTTTTAGTGCCCATCTTTTCATTTCCACATTGGGATGGCAGCTAAAAATGACTTTGCGGTAGGTGGTTAATTTCTGCTTGTTACGTACTAATAATTATAGCTTTCACTTTGGCACTCTCACAGTTGAAACCAACGGCTATTCTTAGATGTGCAAGATCAGATTTTCTGATTTCTGCTGGGAATTTAAAGCCCTGATACTCTCACGAATTCCCTGGCCCTGGGCCCAGCCTACCCCCTCGCCCGTCCCAGGCTCCTCCCTGCCTCCACAAGGCTGCATCCGCAGGGTCTAGAGGTAATCCCGCGGCACAGCCTCCATGAGAAATGAAGACAGTGCCCAGCCAGGTGGTGTGTGGGTCACTAAACAGGGAGCACCTGCCGGAGGAAAGGCTCGGTACCCAGGGCTCAGGCCTGCCTCATGCAGGGCCAGTCTAGACTGACTGTTCCTGCCCTAAAAATGGAATTTATGGATCAATTTAGAGCAGGGAGGGGGGTTAATTAGTGGTCTATCCCTTTATCAGGGATAAACTATCCCTGTCAGACTTTATCCCAAGGACTTTCTTTATACATCTTCATTTGTTCTGTTCCATAATAACCTTATGAGGTCTGAATACCTTACCCCACTTTACAGGTGAAGACACTGAGACCCAGCTGTCACGTTTTTTCCTAATATTACATGGCTAATAAGTGGGGGAACCAGAACTCAGACCCCAGGAGTGTGGCTCCAGCTGTGACCCGGAGCAGGCCCTCAGCCATCCAGCACAGTGTATGTGGGCCGCAGTTGGCACGAGGCTCAGGAGTTCAGTGATCATGAAGATGTCCCAGTCCCTGCCTTTGTGGAGTTTACAGACATGAAACAAAACAGCTACAGAAGCACTTAATTCTCATGGTGCCATGTGCCAGGAAGGGGCAGCATGGTCCCCTGGGGGAACTGGTGACAGAGGTCCTCCACAGGCCAGGGGCCAGGAGAAGTGTGAGCATGGGGAGCGGGGGCCTGCAGAGTGACCAGCAGAGGTTGGGATGATGGTGGGGAGGCTGGAGAGGGTTGGAGACGTGGCAGGAGCCTGAAGGGAAGGAAAGGACATGGCCT